GACTTGCATTGATCTATGAACAAGGTGAGAACTTTTGTTTGCCCGTTTTTGGTGGCTTCGAATGTCGTTTGTGGTGGATGTCGGTATTGCTTGCAACAGTCCATGTATTGATTGCCAATGGCCATTGAGAATTCCCAGTTTGTGCGCTTTGAGTTGTCCCCAAAGTATTTATGTAGGTTAAAATATTACCTTGTGAGAAATGGTTTGCTTGGGGATAAGCAAACGTCTAAGTGTGGGGGAGTGATTTGGGCCTAATTGTACATGTTTTGCCCCCATTTTACTTAGGTGTTTGTGCCAATTTCACTCCTTAAAGGTTGGTTTTACGCTAGGTTCCTCGTGTTTCATTGTGTTTCGGGATTCAACAGGTGAAACCAGCCTCGGAGTCGGAAGTTGGGCAAAAAGGATCGAAAACCGGGACAAGAGGTGAAAAAGGGCCAGTTCACGACTTTCACAGGAAGTTCACGGTCACGCAAGACCGTGAACAGAAGTGAACGATGCGGCGCGTTTTGGCGCATGCCTGAAGTTCACAAACGCGTTTCGTGTTCCACGGCCATGAACTCAGGTCGTGAACTCAGCTCGTCTCTGGTTTAAATGATGAGATGAAAGGAGGAGAGAGGGGGGAGCCCATTTTGTGAGAGAAGCCTTCTTCTGAATTCTAGAGAGACAAACACGAACAAAAGGGAGAAGAAGGCTTAGGGTTTTGCTTCAAGGTAGATTTTGGGAAGATTCATCCAAGGAAAGCTCAAATCAAGGGCCAAGAAGACTGGGGGCATCCTTCAAGATGGTTTCCACCTCTTTCCCTTTTGTTTTCCCCACTTCTAGCATGGAGTAGAACTCCTTTCACTTGGGTGTTGTGAAACCCTAACTCTGTCATGTAGCTTTCTTTTAAGTGAATTGAATGATTGTCATTGGGTATTGTTTAATTGAATGTTTGAGGTATTTTTCATGATTGATTGTGCATGCTTGTGCTTAGAAACTTAGGGGGTTGTGCATGTTTTGTGCTTAGCATCCTTGGGTTTGTGCATATAGGTACTTAGCAACCTAAGGATTGTGCATAATTGTGCTTAACACCCTTAGGTTTATGCATGTTGGTGCTAGCAATCTAATTGGCCACCTAAACTAGGTTAAGTTAGGGCAACCCTCAATATTGAATCAAGCAAACCAGTTAATCGCGATTAAGCCGACCGACCTTAGAGTTGTGTGAGGGAGTAAGTCAACTACCGATTGTCTAAATCGAGAGAGGGTCGAGTGACACGACCTTTCATGCTTACCTCGCTTTGGCAATTGAGTTTGTGGTCTCCAACCATATATGCATCCCTCTGCGGTTCACGATTACTGTGCCCAAAGTAATCGTTCCTTTTCACATAGCATGGTAGCAGTTAGGGGGAAGTGACACCCGGGTGATCCTTCCACAAAAGAGTTTTCAAAACCAATTACTTGTGGTTTTTTTTCATTTCAATTAGCAAACCTTTAAACCAAAACATTTTTGCTAAATAATGATTTCAACAACTGAAGTAGAGGTAGACAGATCGGCCCGGGTCAATATTTAAATACTTGCCCTATACTGCACCCGACTAGAGTTTAAAAACATGGGCTCTAGTTGGGATTTTATTGTGGTGTAGTTTCGAGCGAGTCAGTTCCTCTCTAGTACAAGTAAAATTTTCACTCGTTGAATTGATTTCCAACATGAGAATGTGTTCTTAAGGGCACAAATAGAGCTTCCGACACCCCTTAATTTTATTAACCCTCCACACAAGTTGATGAAGATGAACTTCTAAGTTATTTTTCGACTAATAAATGTAAAGTTAAAAAAGAGCTCTCCACCTTGAGAAATATCAAGAAAAAGAAAATATAGTGGTTGAAAGAGGAAGAAAATTAAAAAATCATAATAAGATTGAAGAAGAAAAAGTGTTTGAAAATATGTCAAGTTGATGGTAGAAAACATTCGAAGCATAAATGTCGTTAGGAATGAGTCATTGCTACCACTATCCCATTAAGGCCTTCTCCACATTTGATCTCCATAAAGTGAATTTGTGAAGGAGCCAAAGAGAAGAGATGGGAAGGGGGTGATGGATAGGTATGGCAATTTGAACCCGCTCAGCCGGGACGGGGCATGGGTATCTACTTCCAATTTGTTTTGTCCCGCCCCGTTCTTAGCCCATTCTCTCAATTTCTTACAATATCTATTCATATTTCTCATATTTTGACTTTTTCAGCTTGTTAGACTCAATCTTCAAACTATTTAGCTCAATTATCCATTCTATTATCACTATTCTAATATTCTTCATTCATAAAGGGTTATCTATTCATTTTATCGAAAAAAACAAACTTTTGTCTGAACTTTTTTAGAATAAGGTGTAAGAGTGGGTTGACCGCCACCATACCTTGGCAGGTATTACCTGCCCCGACCCGCTCTTGGTGCGAGGCGGGTATGAGTTTTGAGATACCCTCCCACCCCACCCGCTCTTGGAAGGGAAGCCTTTTTCAGATCTAGAAAGTGAAGCGAAACCTGCGAAATCAAAATACAATAGACAGACTTGAAACTTTTCGTGAATGCCAATGACGACCGGAATTGCTCATCGTTATTTAGTTTTCCATTAATAACGAGGGGAAATAGACACCCCTCTTTATTAGCCAAGTGCGGACAACGATGTGGTCTTCAACGATTGTTTTAGTGCCTTTCGCCAAATTTCCCCCTCGTTAGAGCTGGGGTTTTATTTTTTTTGTAGTTATAATCATCATATCTACTAATCATCTAATGATGTAAACATCCAATAATAAATGCATCTAATGATAGAAGCATCTTATTAATCCATAGATAGTAGATGCATAAAGCATCAAAGAATTCACATCAGTAAACAATAGTCAACCTAGTTGGACAACTAATAGTTCTATTTTTGGTTGATGACACCACCATCGATGATAAAGAAACCTCCATGAATAAATTAGTGACAACTAATAGTTCTATTTTTGGTTGGTTTTGCTAGAACATTTTAAAGATAAATTAAATGAATAAGCAGAAGATTGATGATGTGGATGCTAATGTGTTTTCTCATTCTTCTAAAATTGCACAAGTAATTGATAGTGCACGATGTTCGTGAAATTTAGAACGCGATATTATGTATTATCATACCAACATACGAGAAGGGAGAAGAAATGAAAAGCTCTTCGCTTATTTTTTTTATTAATTGAAACATATTTGCTTACTTCATTTTTTAAACTTCTTTGTCACTATTGTGTGCTAAAACATTGATAATCTCTTATGTTTATATCCTAAATTGTGGGTTCGATACCAACTTATAAATAAATAAATGAATAAAGGTCTACTGAGAGCTCATTTAATAAAATCAAATTTTTATTAATAAACAAAAGATATAAAAGTGTGTAACAATACCTAAAATCAAGTAAGTGAATTAACAATTCAATGTATAATAGTTTAACATACATAATCATAAGAAACAATAGAACAAAAAATAAAACAACAATACGAATGCACCGCCCAACGGACGAGTAAAAAGCTAGTTTAATCAATGAAGATACCGAAACGGCTGACTTCAAACATGATAACATTGAATCTGCATAGAAACATCACAGTTACTTGAAAACCTTCACTACTGTCCCTCCGAAGTTTTATAACAATCTACCGGATACGGTTCGAAAATGACATCTAGAGTTTAGCTTACTAATTCGTAGAGTCGCCTATCTACAGTTTAGCTTGATGAATATGTTGTTTAATTTTTTAATATCCAAATGAAATTAAAAAAGTTCATCGCCAAAAAAAAGTTATTCACTTTAATCTACAATATGTATATTAAAAGAAAATTTTTGTTGGGACCTAAAGAGTCACAACATCTAATCCATGCAGTTTTGTGTTTATTTACGTAGTTTTGAGCTTATTCACGCCACATTGGTATTTATTCATGTTATAGTGGTGGTCATTCACACTAATGGTCATTCACGCAACCTCGTGTTTATCAACACATATTGTAAATTGAAGGTCTAATAAAATTAAAATTTTAAATTTTGAAATGTATTAAAATGAATGTCATTGCATAGATTATGATCAATGCAACTCATTTTTATAAAAAAAAATATCCAAATTTAATTCCATAAATTATGACCAATATAATTTTTTAGAAAAATATTTGTTGTGAATAACCATAACGCACAGTATCATTTAATTGATGCTGAAATGACGAAAGGGGCCATCCGAAAAATCCTCCCAATGCAGCAAATTCAAATTGCTGGAAATCTTATAAAAAAAAATTGCTGGAAATCTGATGCATGAATCTCCTTCTTATATTATATAGATATAGATAGTGCATAAGTAAATAGGTTTTCTAAGGTTTTTTCTCCTAGAAGTCAGCCAAAAGAGTCATGGTATCATTGGGATGCGGATTTCTTGACTTGTGGCCGAAGTAAGGGATACTCTCAACCATTCCATGAGCCCGGACCAGTGGCTGCCTACCGGCGGTCACCACCTTCGTGGGTTTTCTTCGTGGGCTAGGTTGCTTGTTGGCCAAGTAACCTCTCCTCCAAATTTGAGCGCGCGACTTAATGGGTTTTAGCCTGCGTTGACCTTCGCCAATGGTAAGCTTGCTGCACTACTGGGTCTGCTTCTCAGGGCCATAAACCTCCATCTTCTCAATCGACGACGACAAGTGACAAGTTTGGGTGCAAACAAGAGCATAATGAGTTCTGAAGGGGGTTAAAACATATTTCCGACATCGATTAGCCATGAAAAAGAGCATAATGTCTTCTCCCCTCCGATTTCAAATTTCGAACAACTTTCCTTCCCCCATGTGCTAGTGGTCAGGGGGCCTTGGGTCGGCAGAACACAATTGAGCAGCAACGGCCTCACAGTCGTAAGGTTGGGAATTCCAGAATTGGGAGACGACAGGCGTAGCAACAAGCATAAACGAAAACTGAAACGTAGCCAAAACAACAATCATATGTCTAAGAGCCGAAAACCGGTCAAACTAGTCAAACCATGGGTTTTCCTGGTTTTGAATGGTTTCCGACTAAGTTGTCAAATTGGTTTACGCCGGTACGTCGATTTCGTAAGTGGAATGTTTCTACCGTGGTACAACCGGTTCTTGTACCAGTTTATGCCGTTTTTTACAAAATTACTGGATATGAATCTATACCAAGACAACCTACATCTGCCTCGTCAAAATATATAATATTGATTGATACAATGAAGATTGAGTTGGTATTCCTATGAAGAAACATTTGTCAATCCTAATAACACAAAATGAAAGAAGACAGAGTTTTCGACCGGTCTGACTTTGGTTTGACAACCTTTGTAGAGAGGACCGGTTGCTGAAAGAAACGAAAATGATACACAAATTTGATTACAGCAGCATTACAAATATATATCGAAAAGCAACTTTTTCGACCTTCGAAGCCCCAGAATAATATTCCAACCCGGCGAAATAAGAAAGGACAGAAAGAAAACTCAATTCTCCCTGTTTCACACGCAACAAATTCCCTCGAAGGAATGGAGATCCAATAGAAATGATTCCACCAAGAAAGGGAAATAAAAAAGAGAACGAAAGACCCGATATGTCTTCAGAAAAATATACCATCCTCCATGGATGCATCCCCTCAATTGTTAAGGATCTGATCCACGGCCACCCTTCACTTGAAATTGGAATATTACAGATCCTCACCAAACAATTTGCCACCATTGCAACCCCACCAGCCCAATGTAGAAGCCGAGCCCACCATCATTACAGGGAAAACTCATGATCTGCGCCAAACTGAAAGCCGACGAATCTAGCCAGAAGCAGAAAGAATCGCAATTAATGAGGCTCACCAAGTGAGGAAAAGAATTCAAACTGACAGAGAAAGTAAGCAAGAAGTCTAACCTTAATCAAAACCTCTGCCTGTCCATGAAGAATCTGGTTTCCCATTGTTGCCAGTAGCTTTCTTGTTATTCGCAGCAGGCTGGTAGAAGTTATCATCAAATCCATCATCTTTCCCATCATCCCATCCAGCCCATGCATCACCACCGCTGTTTGATCCAGTGGGCTTTTTGCTATCTACTTTCCTCGTCTCCTTCTGATCCCAATCATCCCATGAACTATGCGAATTGTTAATATTCCCACCTAAACTACAGTTGCCACTTGTATGATTGCTTCCACTTGAATTGTAGTTCCCACTCGAGCTACCATTTCCGCCTGATGAAGACTGTCCGGCTGCAGCACTAGGGTTAGAATTCCATCCTCTGTTATCTTGCTTATTGAACTCCTGATAATAACCGTTACTCTCGCTCTCATTCTTCCACCCGCCATCTTTGGCATATTCCTCGACCTTCTGTGTAGCCATTGCCATGACACCTTTCATAATCCCCCAAGTTCTTTGTCCAATCTCTGTTGTTTTTGCAGTCACAACATTGACAGTTTCGTTCACCCTGTAATCATAACCACCTTCTTTCACCTGTTCACATGGTTGGGCATATTAGCAAAATCATCACTGACCGCACTTGCAAGGAAAGAGTACCCAGAAAAACAAAAAACCATCTGGACCCATTTCATAAATAAAATGTTGAACAGATGAAAACATATTTCTAATAGAATCTAACCCCACCGGGAGGACCATATAGTATAGATAAAGGTTGGTATAATTTGAAGTTCGCCGAGGGGCTATATCCCAGAAAGTCAGCTTTAGGAGTGATGCAGGGGTCGAAACACGCCAATTTCTGACAAACAGAATAAATAAAGCCAAATACCTTAGAGCTGATCTCTTTGGTGCCTGCTTGGACAACAGTAGCAGCTGACTGAGCTGCTGAAGCCGCCACCAAAGACAACTTCCCCAATCCCTAACCAAACAGTACAGAAGCAAATAGATTATCAATAATATGGAATGATATGATCTCGCAGTTTATGAAGAGCAAAAATCCAGACATTTGAGCTACCTGGGAGACAACAGACAATACGTCTGGTTGTGAATTATTCATCTGGGAAGGCGGAGGGCCCGATCCAAACCCTACATACTTGCCACCTTGAGAAGGCGGGAGACCTTCGGGCCTCGACTCATTCTCTGCCATTCTTCTGGCAAAGAAGGTTTCTTTATTAGAAGCAGAGGCCTCCAATTGCGATCTCGTATAAATATCCTCGGTCGATCTCGACCTCGGGCGACCACCAGCCATGGCGCCGCTACCATTAGCCCTAAAATCGCCGACGGATTGGTTCCTCCTCATGTCGTCGGAAGATCTAATTGCATCTTCATTATCCCAACTATCCCAACCACCATTATCCTTGGGCGAGGATTGAGAAAGTGGCGGCTTTCTGCCGCTGCCGCCGAGGGTTTCCTTGCTGGCGGGCGGGTCGCGCCAAGGTTTGCCCTCAGCCAATGCTTGGATTCGATCGCGGTAAACGGCAGCGGCTTTGGTGTTGTACTTGGAGACGATATCGGTTTCTTTAGGGATTCCTCGGAGGGCTAAGAAGGAGTTGAGGTTGTCGTTGCCACCAGCCTCCATCTTCTTGATCTGGATCTCGGACCAGGAGTCCATGGTGACGGATCGGACGAAGGAGATGTGGACACCGAGGCCGCGGTGCTTGCCGGAGCACTCGAGGCACATGAAAACGCCGTAGGAGACGGAGGCCCATTGCGGATTCTTCTGGGAGCAGTCCACGCAGATCTTGTTTGCGGGTTGCGATTGGAGATCCCGGAGGCGTCGAGCTGCCGCCATTGAATCCCGATCCGAACGTCCTTCTACGATCTGGGAACAGAATCGAAATTATTGAAATGAATTGACGATTTGTTCAGATATATAAAGGCCAAAAAGAAAAACGGATGGGATGGGATGAGAAAAGAAGGGAAGGACCCCGAGGAAATGTTGAGCTTGGATTCGACGAGTCAAAAGGGGTAAATAGTAAAGATCCAGAGCAGAGAAATTAAAATGTTGTGGAATTATTAACCAAATCGAGAGAGAGAGAGAAAGGCAGAAAGAAACGGAGGATCTTACCTGCTACACCGCGGAAACCAAATTACGGTGATAATAGTTTGGGTATGCCTACTATGACATGCACTTTTCGGTGACATGCACTTTTCGGTCGACCTATTTTTGAAGGCGGTTGACCGAATTGACTAATTTGGGCAGCACGAGAAAGCATTGTGGTCGACCTTAACGACCACCTGGTCGACCGCACTTAGTTTAAGTTGTTATTTTTGGTCGATCAGAATAAAACCTCGGTCGGTCATTTCGTTGGCGTCAGAAACAACATGGTCGACCACCTAAGGTATATAGGTCTACCACTTGATGGCAGTCATTAACAAAATGGTCGACCGAATAAGGAAAGAGGTCGACCAGATAGAAGATAATTGTTCTATCAAAGTGTCCAATCATTTGACGTAAAATGAAGATCAAGTGTTGGTTTCGCGGTCGACCTAATCCGGTACGAGGTCGACCGAAGAAAGTCAACCTATGCCCCGTGTCTTTTTTGCTTATGTATGTCGATTTGTGTGGTTCTTTTGATCGTTTAAATTATGTTTCAACCCATCATAAATAGTCATAAATAATTATAACAATGACTCATCAATTCATAGCATAACAACTAAACAAACTAACAAGAAATACAATAAAACAGAAATCATAATTGTTCACACATAAAAATAAAACTAAAAAAACAACAGAATAACAATCAACAATCGTTTTGACCACTTAACAATAAAAACACACAATCTAAAATCTCCTCGCTCCTACTCATCTCCCCTCTCTCCCTCATCCACATTTTCTTCATTGGTGGTGCTAGCATGATGGTGGTCGGATGTGGTGGGATGCATGTATCTTCCGCTGAAAGATCGCCACTCATCTCGCATCTCATTCACGGTCACCTGCATTGTGCTCATCTGGGCGGTCATTTGCCCCATGTAGTCGTACATGCCAGTCATCTGGGTGGACATCTGGCCCATGTACTCGTACATGCCATCCATGCGCTCCCACACACGCTCTAAGGTGATCGGTGGAGTTGAACTTTGTGCCTCCGCCATTGGCTCGTCTCCGGCTCCTTCATCACCATCATCATCATCATCACCACCACCATGGGCACCATGAGCATTGTTTACTCTGACATACTCACCATTACGCAGCTCAAAGCCCATCTTTTTCAGAGATGAAACAGTATAGAACTCCTGCCTTGTGATTCTTAACCCCACCTCTTCACTTAAATTCACATTAAAATGCTCAAATAGCACAGTGAGGATCATCCCATAGGGAAGATTCCTGTTTGAACTCTCTGCAGCAGTAAGCATGTGGTTAAAGATCAAGTATGGCAAGTTCACCTTCTCGTTTAACAGTAGGTTGGTGAGGAGCTCCATGTCGAAGTAGGTGACTGTCTCCCGATGTCCACCCTTTGGCAGAATGTTGTAGGAAAGCATGTGGTGAAGAACTCTGTCTTGAACTGTCAGGTGGTTACTCGTTGGCCTATTGCGACCCTGAGCATCTTCCTCTTCATCAAGACCACATACCGTCTGGATTTGCTTGGCTCTCGTGAAATGCGTTTCATTCCAAGCACCATAAGAATGGATTCTCTTCCCCTCGTTTGGAGCCTCTAGTACTTGCGCCAACACATTCTTGCCGATGCGCATCGCCACCCCATTCACATAGGATTTGAATGCGTGAATGGATCCATTGCCATTGCGCTCGTAGACGATGTTGTTGTAGAAGTACTGTACCAGTTTTGGGTAGTGTGGTACATTGAGAGATATCACCTTCAGCCACTCCTGCTCGATGAAGGGTCCCAGAAACCCGTAATTCTCGAAATGAGAATACGCATATGTTGTCAATGGCGCCTTCCCGGAGCCACCCTGCGGTTGTGCATTCTCTTCTCTTCATAGTTCTCACTTTGCTCCTTGGTCTGGAACAGATTGGGATTGAACTCTTCCCATTCCGAACTTGAGGCATCAGCTTTTTGTGCCTTTCTTTTCTTTTTGCCCCCAAACATCCTGCGATCAAACAAGCAAGAATACACGTTACTTACATTTTCGAAATGAACAAAACGCAGTCGACCACTCCATAAAGCGGTCGACCTCAGTTAATTTAAAACGAGAATGGGTCGACCTCAGAAGAAGCATAGGTCGACCTCAGTTAATTTAAAACGAGAATGGGTCGACATAAACCCGTAACAATTCAAGTACATAATTGCTTTCATAGGTCGACCTCAGAAGAAGCATAGGTCGACCTCGGAAAATTTAAATTGATTGAAAACCATATGTGACTTTCAGCAGGAGTGCAGTGCAGGACATTAGACCACCTTGGAATGCACTCGAAGACACAAACGTCTGCTGCCTTCACCGAGTTCTCCTTTGCAACCCTATGCGGTCACCGGCAAGCAAACAACAACAATATAACAAAGAAGACCCTAAAACCTAAACTCTCTTACTGTCCCATTCTTATGGATGTAAGAGAGTTTAGGTTTTAGGGTCTTCTTTGTTATATTGTTGTTGTTTGCTTGCCGGTGGCCGGCATAGGGTTGCAAAGGAGAACTTGGTGAAGGCAGCACGTTTGTGTCTTCGAGTGCATTACAAGGTGGCCAAATGTCCTGCACTGCACTCCCCATGAACATCTGGCTTTCAATCGATTTAAATGGCCCGAGGTCGACCTCAATATCATCACAGGTCGACCTCAATAAGTTTAGCACAAATAACTCTAATTTTTGCCTTCATCGGTCGACCTCAGAAGCATCATAGGTCGACCTCGGCTAATTTGAAACGAGTCTGAAATGGCCCAAATGCTTTCAATGTTGAATGCAAAACAGATCCGGTCGACCTCATTAATTGAAGAGGTCGACCAGAGTTAGTTTCGCACAAATAATTCATAAGAGAATGGCACAACTCGAACTTTTGCCTTCATAGGTCGACCTCAGAAGCATCATAGGTCGACCTCAACTAGATTGAAACGAGTCTGAAATGGCCCAAATGCTTTTGCTATTGAGTGTAAAACAGATCCGGTCGACCTCATAATTAGAAGAGGTCGACCAGAGTTAGTTTCGCACAAATAATTCAAAGACAATGGCACAACTCGAACTTTTGCCTTCATAGGTCGACCTCAGAAGCATCATAGGTCGACCTCGGCTAAATTGAAATGAGTTCGAAATGGCCCAAATGCTTTTGCTATTGAGTGTAAAACAGATCCGGTCGACCTCATAATTAGAAAAGGTCGACCAGAGTTAGTTTCACACAAATAATTCAAAGACAATGGCACAACTCGAACTTTTGCCTTCATAGGTCGATCTCAGAAGCATCATAGGTCGACCTCGGCTAAATTGAAATGAGTCCAAAATGGCCTAAATACTTTTGCTATTGAGTGTAAAACAGATCCGGTCGACCTCATAATTAGAAGAGGTCGACCACAGTTAGTTTCGCACAAATAATTCAAAGACAATGGCACAACTCGAACTTTTGCCTTCATAGGTCAACCTCAGAAGCATCATAGGTCGACCTCGGCTAAATTGAAACAAGTCCGAAATGGCCCAAATACTTTTGCGATTGAGTGTAAAACATATCCGATCGACCTCATAATCAGAAGAGGTCGACCAGAGTTAGTTTCGCACAAATAATTCAAAGACAATGGCACAACTCGAACTTTTTCCTACATAGGTCGACCTCAGAAGCATCATAGGTCGACCTCGGCTAAATTGAAACGAGTCCGAAATGGCCCAAATACTCGTAACAAAACGTCACAGGTCGACCTCAATATCATCACAGGTCGACCTCAGTCTATACAACAGGAATAAATCGATTGAAAGCTAGATGCGGTCGACCACGAAAATGAAAAGGTCGACCGCATCTGACGAACAGAAGGATAAATCCCTCTTTTAAAGCTATAGATCTAAATAAAAACCCAAATACTCGTAGCAAAACGTCACAGGTCGACCTCAATATCATCACAGGTCGACCTCAGTCTATACAACAAAGGAAACAATCGATTGAAAGCCAGATGCGGTCGACCACGATGATGAACAGGTCGACCGCATCTGACGAACAGAAGGGAAAATCCCTCTTTTCAAGCTATAGATCTAAATAAAAACCCATAAAATCGTAGCAAAATTTCACAGGTCGACCTCAATATCATCATAGGTCGACCTCAGTCCATAAAACAGAAAAAAATCGATTGAAAGCCAGTTGCGGTCGACCACGATGATGAACAGGTCGACCGCATCTGACGAACAGAAGGGAAAATACCTCTTTTCCATCTTTAGATTTTTTTCAAAACAATCTAATCTACCAAAGAAGAAGACAAAAATCGAATCAAAATGAAAAAGATGACTGAAAGTTATACCTTGTTCTTCTTCTAAGTGATGAGGATGAAATGGAATGGAGGTTCCTTTGAGTTTTTGGAAAATGGAGATTTTGGAAATTGGAGAAGAAGATGAAGAAGGGAAAGGAGAGGAAGAATGAGTGGATGTGGTGGGATAGGGTTCTGATTGTGGTGTAGAATGAGTGGAGGAGGGTTTCTTAAATAGAGGATTGAGGGAGGTTTGGGTGGATGTTGCAAACAAACCGGTTTGGTCGGCCGAATTAAATACGCGGTCGACCTCAGTAACTTGTTCGTTCGACCGTTATTTGTAGCTATTGTTTATTTCAACCAACAATCAATTAACTCATAAATTATTAAGATAATTCGAAGAAAATACAATGCAATCACAGTTATTAAAAAATAAATAAACTCCTAAAAAACAATAGAAGAAATTTAAGATCCTTTTTTGGGACTTTGTTTCGGGCACTTAGGGCGAAAATGACCATATTTCCCACATTTCGAACACTTTCTTAAACTTTTGCCCGATGCAGTTCGTGCTGACTTAAATATCCCCTTGGTCTTCCCAATTTTTGGATCTTTCACACTTCGAAGGGGTGCTGGAGGGTTTGCCGGTGTTGTGTTGTCCGTTCTCTCCCTCGCGAACTCAATTGCCCATTGAG